ATTACCTTTCTACTTTAAACAATTTTAATATTAATGCTCTTCATTAGATGAGTTATCAAAAAAAGTAAATTTAAATTTTATGTTCAATAAAATTGAGATTAGAATTATATTTTTACAATAACAATTACAATATAATAGAATATTTTTTTGGTTCTAAACTGTTTAATATTCAAAGAGTAAATTATTAATTAAAATATAAAAATGGGAAATAGTGAGCAATAAGCTGAAACAATTAGAAAATTAAATCAAGAAGAGTTCGATAGATAGTATAAGGAAAGTGAAAGGGATAGAAAAATATAAAGAAAAAAGGAGAAGTTGGAAGAAGAAAGATAAAGATAGAGGGAATATGAGAGGCAATAAGAAGAAGATAGAAGAAGGAGAGAATAGCAAGACCAGAATTCATAATGGAAATGATTTATTAATAACATTATCTGGATTATATTCCATTAAATAGATCCAAAAAAATCTTATAATAAATAATTGTTTTTAATGGTTTCAAGTTGGCTTGGTGTAGCAGTCACATTACATTATTAGTCTTGCTTATTTTTTGAAGGCTAGGAATAATCTTATAATAAAAAGTATTCTAATTATATCAGAAAAGATTTTAAATAATTAAGTTTTGTTTGATAGTTGAGTTTAACCGCTTAACATTTATTAAAATATTAGTAATGGATTTTGGGATCTTAAATTTTATTAAAAAGACAGTTATTAAACTTGTATTTATTAAGGATTGACTCTTTTTTACTAAGAAATTACATCGGAATAATTCTAGATAGACATTTAAATATAGATAATTTAAACATAATTTATATATGTGTCATCATTTAAGGTTTATATTAGCTTATTAAAATTTCAATATCTAAAACTTCGATAACATCTGAACCTTAATCATTTATCACAACTGGTTCCATAAATGATTTTTATTTGGGTTTAGGTTTGGAATTCTGATAATCTTATATTTCAACACTAACAATAAGTATTTTTGAAAATATTAGTTTATTTTTAACAAAACTATTTAATTGCCTTTTATTACATAAAATTTTTAATCAAGTTATTTATTTATTACAAGCCAATAAATATCATTTTTATCTCTTTAATGCTTATTTGAAAAAAAAGCAAATTTGTTAATAATAATTTAATGTAATAAGAACAAGAATAGATTCTAGATTATCATAGAGAACACAATAATATCCTTGTTATCAAGTATTTAATTAATGAATATAGAAATCATTCATCTCTTTAATAATAATAATGGATATGATGCTTAAAATGATTGTTTTTATAAATGTACTATATTAGTTGATGAATATATTTATTCTACAATTATATATACATATAATATTGAAATATTCAAAATGGAATTCGGAAAACTTAATACGAAATAAGGATTTCAACATTCTGATATAAAAAGATGGATATAATTTGTAGAGTAATATCATTTACTTTTAAATATATTAATTTATCGTATAAAATAAAATAGGATATAAAAACTGGAAATTTATTCATCAATGAACTGGGTACTCAAATACAAATAACAAATAATATAGTGGTATATGCTCCAGAATTGTTGTTTTGAGCTACTCATTATAAATATGCGGTTGATATGTGGTTAGTTGGATGTATGTTTGCTGAATCTATGCAAGAACATCTCCGAATTATTAAATTGTTTGCTCTGAATTTTCATAACAAGAATAGCAACTGTTCTCCTAAAAACCGTGTATTGAAAAATTATAAAATTCTCTAAACATCTTATATTTTATTAAGGACTAGCTTTGCTAAATATTATATAATATTTATATTGGTTTTAATTTTCTCTTCTTATTTTTAAGAATCTGACTATGACAAGTCAATAATATGTACAATTAACGATGGATATTCAAATGAAAAATGTACCATCAAATGAATGTATGAGGATACTAAAAAATAATTTATAATTTTAATTGGTTTTACCTGTGTAACGACATTTGTTGTGACTGTTTTTCTTGAGAGCATCATCAAGATAATTTTAAAACATACTTTAAATTAATAAGTTAGAAATATTGAAGAATATTTTCAAATTAGAATTATGAAAATTTTATTATGAAGCAAATCTTTCTAATTATTTAAATAAAAATATAAGAAAAATATTAAATATATCATAATATTTAAAATAGCAAGCCTCTTTATTTTTGTTTGCAGATTTTTTCTATGAGGAAATTTTTAAATTTTCAAACCATTAACTTATTTACAATAAAATAATAATAATGGGAAAAATAAATAATCAAAAATTTTAGACTAATTTTAACTCAAAATTTGAAAATCAAACTATAATTTAAAATTGAAATCTTAAATTAGAAAATAGAATTTATACCTTCTATTTTAAGAGCGTACAAAAATCATAAGTTTCGTTAGTCTAATAATTCACTTAATGTATAGGTTTTTATTGACATATAAAGTTTATGAATTTAAATTTGGATTGTTCAAATAAAATAATATTTAAGTGGAAATTGGACTAGTTTCTAAAATTTAAATTTTATGAATTGTTTTATTTTTAACATATTTATGAATCAGAATTATTTTGTATTTATCTCTTTATATAAATCTGATATTTCATTTTTCTTTATATCTTACCCCCAAGTTGTCTTTATTTTGCAAAAATAAATTAATTTAATTCTAATATCACTCAATGTTCTTAATTTATTCTTAGCAATTTAAATTTATAATGGTTAATAACTACAATTATTACTATCAAAACATTCTTTTTCAATATTTATAGTGCATGTCGATTTCAAACATTATCTATATAATATTGTTTTTAATAATTTATAAAAAGCATTTAGAAGGTATTGTTTAAGTAGCAACAACATCAACTTAATATTAATAATAATTTTAAGGTACATATGAATAAGACTATTTTACAAATAAACAAGGAATTAATTTTAATGTTTTGCTTTTATTAGCAACATCTGATCTATTTTAAGATTAACAAATCTACAATTTACTTTTAAATCTATTAATTATATACTTATAATCTTCAAAGTCTTTTCTAAAAATAAAATAAAATGCTTTAGGCATTTACATATTGATATCTTAAATTCNCATCAAGATAATTTTAAAACATACTTTAAATTAATAAGTTAGAAATATTGAAGAATATTTTCAAATTAGAATTATGAAAATTTTATTATGAAGCAAATCTTTCTAATTATTTAAATAAAAATATAAGAAAAATATTAAATATATCATAATATTTAAAATAGCAAGCCTCTTTATTTTTGTTTGCAGATTTTTTCTATGAGGAAATTTTTAAATTTTCAAACCATTAACTTATTTACAATAAAATAATAATAATGGGAAAAATAAATAATCAAAAATTTTAGACTAATTTTAACTCAAAATTTGAAAATCAAACTATAATTTAAAATTGAAATCTTAAATTAGAAAATAGAATTTATACCTTCTATTTTAAGAGCGTACAAAAATCATAAGTTTCGTTAGTCTAATAATTCACTTAATGTATAGGTTTTTATTGACATATAAAGTTTATGAATTTAAATTTGGATTGTTCAAATAAAATAATATTTAAGTGGAAATTGGACTAGTTTCTAAAATTTAAATTTTATGAATTGTTTTATTTTTAACATATTTATGAATCAGAATTATTTTGTATTTATCTCTTTATATAAATCTGATATTTCATTTTTCTTTATATCTTACCCCCAAGTTGTCTTTATTTTGCAAAAATAAATTAATTTAATTCTAATATCACTCAATGTTCTTAATTTATTCTTAGCAATTTAAATTTATAATGGTTAATAACTACAATTATTACTATCAAAACATTCTTTTTCAATATTTATAGTGCATGTCGATTTCAAACATTATCTATATAATATTGTTTTTAATAATTTATAAAAAGCATTTAGAAGGTATTGTTTAAGTAGCAACAACATCAACTTAATATTAATAATAATTTTAAGGTACATATGAATAAGACTATTTTACAAATAAACAAGGAATTAATTTTAATGTTTTGCTTTTATTAGCAACATCTGATCTATTTTAAGATTAACAAATCTACAATTTACTTTTAAATCTATTAATTATATACTTATAATCTTCAAAGTCTTTTCTAAAAATAAAATAAAATGCTTTAGGCATTTACATATTGATATCTTAAATTCTATATTTCGTTTAATGTATATAGCTCCATTAAGTAATGTTTACAGTGTAATCAATTATATGCTTGCTCTAGTCCAAGCATAAACGCTTAAGAATTAAGAAAACTGAGCTAATACTCAAAACTAAATCATTTTATATCATATTGGCTCAATTTTGAGCAATTTAATTTAGATTTTCTTTGATTTCATTATTATTTAACTTTATTATGTGATTTATCATTTTTTAAAATGGAATTTAAAGTGGATAATGAAATAAATAGAAATATATTTCAAATAAAATAAGAGAGGTGATTAAGAGTTGGGGGAGAATTCTTTCAAAAGAAGGGAAGATAACAAAGGACAGAATGATGATTTATTTATTCATTTAAGCATTAAAAAATTATATAATTCTATTAAAAAAATTTATAGAATAATTTATTTGATTTAATATTATTATTTCTTTTAATTATTTGATTCAATGATAAGCTTATTGACAATCATCTAGATGTTACAAATTCTAATCAATAGGAGATTTAAATATCATCCATTGTTTAACTTTCTTTATTATTGTTTCCTATTGACTATTTAATTGTATGTAGATATAAAAGTATTATTTTCATATCTCTGGTTTGTTTCTCTCCTCCTCAGCTATTAATAATTATTTTTCTCAATTAAGACTTAATAATAATTTCGCTATACCTTTTAATGTTCAAATAACCAAATTTATTATAATAAAATAAATAGAAGAAGAATTCATCATTTAATATTTTATTTTAATATTCCTTTTTATTATTATTAATCCTTCAAAATATAAGTGAAAGGAATGAAGTTAACATAGAAAACAAGAATAAAAAAATATTATCATTAAATAATTAAATATGGTTTTTGAATGTCTGGCTTTAAATTCTCTCTCTTTTTTTTCTAAGCAATTTTATCTTCTTTGACATTTAACTAAATGAAAATGAGCTTTTCCTCTTCTTTTGCAGCCATAATCACATGTTTAGGGGCAGAACTTTCTCTAATCTAATATTTTCTTATTGTTGATTCTTTCTATTCTTAAATTAATATCGGAATCTAAATTCCTTCATATAATATTAATTATTTAATTTTCTTTATTTATTTATTAGTTTAATGAAGATGTGCCTATTCCAAATCGAGATATGAATTACATTCATGACTTTATTAATTATAAAAACAAGATTGCTTTTCAGTTTTTACAGTAAATATTAAGCAGGTACATTAAAACTAGATAGATGAATATTGATTGTTTTTGATTGATCTTCATTAAACAGTTTCTCATGTCAAAATAATAAAAAAAAAAAGTTGTTTTTTAGTTTTTTTTGAAGTAAATATTGGAGAGAGTAGTATAAAAACTTTAATTATAGTAGACTCAGGATAGGAATATTACATAAGAATTAAAAGAAAATTTCATTGCCACGCACAAATTAGAATAGAATCATTCTTAAAGTTTTATATATTTTATTAAACTATTAATATATTCAGATAGAGCTAAAATGATATTTAATTTATATAGAAAATGATTATGATTATGTTATTTTTAGGTAAAACTTATTTTGTAAAAATTTGGTATTTCGATCATTCTAAATAAAAAATATGATAATAGTACAATTGCGATAGATGTATCTTTAAGAATTTAAAAGTCTAAATGAAAATTAATTGTTAATTAAACTTATTTGAAAATATTTGTATAGTTATTTAATATTTTATATTTTAATATATTTCTGGAATAATCTTGGCAATTTAAACTTGTAAGTGAATATTGGATTAAACTTCAGCCAACTTTTTAGCATACTAACTTTAAATTATCTCGTCAAACTGATGATATTCTTGATTTCAAAATATCTATTTTTATGATATAAATTATATTTTGTTAATTTTTATAGTTTTCCTCATTAGGTTTGATATTAAAATGATAATTATCAAGCTATTTGAATTACATAAGCTCCATTTTTTCATTTTTTTATGAAAAAAATTTGAGATAAAAATAAAAAAATTTTGATCAAATTGAATTGAAAAATAAAAAACTAACCTTCAAAAGATTTAATTGGTTCATTATTTTGAATTTCAATCTTAGACTTTAAGCGAAATACAAACTACGACAGATATTCCCTTTTTGCCTTTCATTTATATTTAGCTTTAATAAACTATTCAAATTCTTTCAACAATTATACTTAAGCCATCCTATCATCAATTGATACTAATAAAACCGTAAATTTTAATGAATAACTCAATTTTGCCCAAATTTTTATATAACTGTTGATGGTACTGGTTTGTTCGTAGAAACTCATGAAAGAATCCGATTTATTTTGCCCTAAATCACTTTATCCCTGTCTAATAGACTCCAAAAATAATGTTTCTTTTAGATAAAATAGGGCAGCAATTGCCTTACTTTAAGTTCTATCCAAAATTTCAATTTATTACGACAAATAGTCAATAAATTCAAATAATTTTTTATTTCCAATATCCTCATCTTCTCCCTATCTTCATTATACATTATACTTGTGTTATATAGGTGTTTAGTTATTTATTTTAAAAAGTATTTAAAGCTGATTATCAAATAGGAATAATCCTATTAAATATTCGAATAGAATAACATGTTTTGATTCTATGTTATCATTACTTTTTAATGAATTTATTCAAAGAGATACTAATTAAAAATGATCTATGTGCTTCATTTTTTAATCAATTTTGTTTCCTGGATTTAATAACTTTTCCATCACTCTATTTTGTCTATCTTTATTTATAATTTATTTATTGAGGTATTTAATAAAATTGATAAAATTAGATATTAGCATCCTAAACTCAATAATATCAAGTGTCATGTCCATATTTTTCATGATAATCATTTTAAAATATAATTTTAGAAATGTTAATATCTTCTATCGACTATACTAAGTTTTTACGCGTTTAAATGTTTAGTATTCCAAATCACTTACAATTAAATAGTTATAACAAATTAATAACTACCTTTCTACTTCACTACCAGATTATGAAAATGTAATAAAAGATCATTGCAAATTAGTTGTTTTAATAATTTAAAAAATTAATTCCATTTAGATATTATTTAAAATATTGTATTTAAAAAGAAAAGGTAATATTCTCTTAATTCTATTAATCAATAAAATTATAGTATTTTAAAATCTCAATAAACTAGTGGGAAAAATTTATAAATGATATTTAATTAGCCAATTCTATCTTTTTCTTATACCATATAATCAAATTTCATTGTTCAACTATGAGCTTATCCTAAATTAAATTTCGGTACTAAGTTATAAAAGCTGCTATTATGAAGAAGACCAATTTATTTTAAAGGTAAAAGAATTCCTAATTGGGAACTGCGTTAAATCTTTTCCAATTTAAAATTTATTTAACTTTGTGAAATAGTTTAAGAACTTAATTTTCGTAATTTGTTAAAAACCCGATCGTTTGATTCTTTAACAAAATAATAATAGAGAACAAATTAAGATGCTTTGATAAATCAGTATTATTTTACAAAATTTCTTGCTCTTAAATTGGCAAATTTAAAGAATTATAAAGCTTTTATTTATTCATTTGATTATTATTTATTTAAGTTTTCTATACTTTAATCTATAATTCATGAATAAAATATTAGCCATCTAATTTAATATTTTAATTATTTAATTAGAATTAAAATATTTCTTTAAGTGTATAGCAAAGAATAATAGAAGGCATATAAACGTATATTTTTGTTTGGATTTAATTCATTCTGTTTTGATTGTCATACAATAATGTGATTCAAACAATAAATAAATATTAAATTAATAATAAATTTTAATCTCAATCATGTTTTGAGAAAGATATGTTAAAATAATAAATAGTTATTTGAGTATTTCATGATATAATTTATTTAAATCTAATTAATTTGAATTAATAATCTAATATAATTAATTTTATTATCAATTTTTGTATGATTATTAATTAAATGGTAAAACACATAGTTTCTACCTAAAAGTGATTCTCAATTTTAAATTGTAAATTGATATGTACAATTATAAAATAAGATGATTATATCTCTAGAAATATGGATCTTTTGATAACTACATCACATTTTAAGCAATTAAAAATATTAAAACTAATGAGAATAAGATATTTTTAAATAAGAGTACTCCACAAAATTAACATAGACGTTAGATTTCAATACTTTATATCATTTTTGTTAAGTTTAATATAATATGAATTTCTAAACTATAGAGTAGGATGAATTTATAACTAATCATATTTTATTAAAAATAATCCGCATTTATTATAGGTACAATAATATTCTAATAATAATAAATTTATTCAAAAACTCCAAATTGAATAAAAAAGTAACTAATAAAAAAAAAAAGAGAGAAGAACTTTTTGATGAATATTTTTAAGATGATTAATGATGTAATGAGAAAAGAGAAAATTTTGGATAACTTATAATTCATTTCATATATTCATTTCATAACCATCTAACTACAGACGAGAGGAAACATTAATCATTATCAATAGAAAATTAGTGATGTTATAAAGAAAGAAATTACCAAAATCACCAATTTTTTAAGAGAAGTCTAAGATTATCCCTATAGTAAAAAAGATTATAGTACAAAAGCTTATGAAAAGGAAACAAAAAATATAATAAAGAAAGTAGCAGAGAATAAGGGCATCATAAATTTTAAAAAAATTTTAGAACTACTCACAAGTATAGATGAAAAATATATTTAATGTGGTTTAAAGGGAGTACTGATGAAGGTTGATGTTACCAACAGAAACTTTGAAGGTATCAGCATGAAGAATACATCTTTGATAGGAGTATATCTTATTAGATGTAATATTAGTGGATCGAAGTGAAGTAAATCTAAATAGAGCCCTACTCTTAAATTGCAAGTGGAGAAAATCAATACAACTATATGGCATATTCTACAACAATTAATTTTACTTAAGCAAATACAAATTTTCATTATTAATTTTATTAAGAAGACTGAAGTTAAAATTTAAAGTTAAGATGGTTTAGATTCCAAATAAGTTTATTGTATATAAAAAGCCTTTTGGTTAATATTTTATAACAATTATAATGAAACCTTCTCTATTACAGATTCAACTATTACTCTATTAATTACCTTAAAAAGGTTAATTTAAAGTAAATATTAAAAGTTAAATCACTAAAATTAAATTCTTCACTCTATATTTTCTCAAGCATTTTAACAACTTTGGAGTTTAATTTAGTTAAGATATTTTAGATTTTTGATTATTCAACAGAATATTTATCATAAACCTTTTCAAATTTATTTTCTTTTTTAAATATAATTTTCAACAAGGACTTAATTAAAACCATAAATATTCAATTCATGAACATATATTAAGTTAAAATTGTAGATAATTTTTTATTTAAATTATATTTATAGAAATACTTTATTTGATATTCAATTATTGAATAAACTTCTCAATAATAACCTAAGGGGACTAGCCATATCAAGATAAGTCAAACAAACTGCAAATTTGGAATCTTCTTGTTTCAAACTCTAATATAAATATAGAATTTAATTATTACTCTTGAGGCAACTTATGTTTCTAGTATCACACTTAACATTGAAATTGATCCAAATATCAAGATGAATATCAAAAAGCCATTTCCAGTAAGAATACTTAATGTTAATACTATAAGATATCCAACACATGATCCAATAGTAATTGCCAAATGTTTGCTGATTACACAATGAGTGTCTTATAATTATTCAATTATTTGATTTTATCTAGCTTCTTAATTAAACAAATTTCTAATCAAAGTAAGTTATTTAATTCTTTCAAAAATTGATAATTCTTCTGGTAATTCATGATTCTATTTCAATAATTATTCATTCAATTAGTTAAAATAATAAAGAACATAAATGATAATAATTTCTGAAATTGGAAATCCATTATCAAGATATCTATTTGATAATCCTAATATAAAATTTAAAACTAATGATCCCATAATTGTAAATTTCATTAAAACAGTGTAATAATGAGTTTTTTATGTTCTAACAATAACAATTTGAAGTAAATCATGAACTATTAATATCATTAAAATAAGTATGATCCAAATATTTACTCTTTTTTGGTTACTATTTCCAGCTATTCCAATCAAAAGAAAGGCTATTAACGCAGTTTAGAAATAGAATAATTGAGATTATTTAGAAACCTAATATAAAAAACAATATGGATTACAATGCATCTATATTTTCTAATAATAGGAAGTCCTAATATTAATACAATCAATAAGCTTAAAACCACAAACCAAGTCCATCTGAATTAACTTCTCCAATAATTATGGTTAACTACTAATGAACTAAACCATTTTGTCAATCCAAGTAAAAATAATCCAAATATTATTGAATGTTAAATTAAAATATTTTTATAGTATCCAATTAGAAATTCTTATCTATCTGTATTAACATCTATCGCTACTACAGCCTTCTCTGCTACTGCTTATTAAACATCATCCAATTGTATGTATTGAGCAGCTGGTATTAAATTACTTAATATTGGGTATTGAACTTATGATATTTAACTCAATGACTAAGGAGTCTATTGATTATATATTGGTAATTCTTATTGGGTTGACATTTTTTTATTTTAATTATATATTTAATTTTTCAGAATTCAAAAGTGCTATTAAACTTAAATTTTTTTAAATTTCAGAATATATTTTAATCAGAATTCATTGCAATCAATTGTATTTAAATTTATTTATATACTTAAGAATTTATATTTCTTTATCAATACTATATTATTTATAAACTATCATATATTATAAATTATTCATAAATCTATCAAGAAGCAAGTTTGTGTTATTAAATTTTGATTTATGTAGAAAAAGTTAATCAGATTTTTTTTACCAAACAAATTAATTTCTAGTTCAAGGTTAAATATCTAAAAACTAATATTTTTTAGTCTTATTATTTTAATATTTTGATCCAGCATCTTATTAGAATCCATAATGGGCTGTTTTTATTGCATTAGATTTTCAAAAGATTAGGATATTATAATCCAATGAAAGAAATTATTGCTTCCATTATTAAATATTGACAAAAAACTGGCTTTTCTTAAAAGTAATGAATTAGCATGGTCATTTAATAAAAGTACTCAAATTTTAATAAAATGTGTAAATCTCAATTATTATGTAATTTAACTAGTTCTTAAACTTTATAACAATTCTAAAATTCAATATAAATTTATCAATAGAATACAATATTCAATTCTAATAAAATTAAATTAATATTTCTATAACAAAAGAATATTATATTAACAACTACCTATAGATAAATTTAAACTGAATTACAATTTAAATTAAAAAAAATTAAAGTAAAGTTTACTGAAGAAACTCTTTATAAAGATTAAACAAAATTAATTAATATTATAAATATTTTCACTTTATTTTTAATAAGGAAGAATTTCTTAATAAAAATTTTTAACTTTAAAACAGCTAAAATATTGATGAAATGTGGAATTTTGATATTATTGAGAACAATTTAGAAGAGGAAAAGGTTTAATAAATACAATTTATTGAAAATCCAAAAATAAATAAAGAAATTAATACTGGATGGTAAGCATTATATTACAATTAACAATTATAATAAATTAAAAA